GCCAAGGGGGGTCATTCATCCAAGAAAATGTGCAATCCTGGTACTGCAATTTACTAATTTGGACTTCAGGTTGTCCCACCCACCCATGCTCAAACTTTTTGGGATCAATATTTTTCATTTATAATCATTCTTTTCATGGTCCAAACTTGCCCTCTGTGTTTTCACTTTTCACTCAAACAAAAAAATTTGGTTTTTTTAGGGCCCTTATAAAAAAACCCGCATTTTCCGCGTTTTGACGCGCTTTTGCTGCGGCACAGCACACGCGCATTCTGCTTTTAAACCCACATTTTTAATTAATTTTTTTTTGCCATTAATTTCGAGTTTTTTTGATTTTTTAAAATTTTTTCCTACACTTTGAAGGGTGTAGAATTGAATGGTAAAGTCCATTTACCATAAAAATGACTTTGATTTTTTTTTTTTCTGCTTACTCATTTTTTCAATTAATTGTTTGCATGCATGTATGTACCTTATTATTTATGCTTTTTTGAAATTTTAAAATTATTTCCTAGGTTTCAATGTGTGCAGAATTTAATGGTGCAATCCAATTTTTTTAAAACTCAACGGTTCATTTTTAATACTGAAATTAGGACCATTTTTTCACTTAATTTTTTACAGCTTAATTCTCATCATTTTTTGACATTTTAAATTTATTTCCCACACTTTAAGACATGTAGAAAATGATGGTAACAACCATTTTTCCCCAAAATGAAAACTATACCTTGAATGCCGCATTTGACACGTTTTTTTTAATTAATTCATCACTTTTTCACTTAATTGTTTGCATACATGTGTGTACCTTATTTTCTATGCTTTTTTGAAATTTTAAAGTTGTTCCCTACATTTAAAAGTGTGTAAAATTTAATGGTAAAATTCAATTCCCATAAAACTCAACGGTTCATTCTGGATACTGTAATTAGTCATATTTTTCAATTGATTTTTAAGAGCTTAATTTTCATTATTTTTTGACATTTTAAATTTGTTTCCTACACTTTCAAACATGTATAAAATTATGGTAACAATGAATTTTCATCAAAATGAAAACTATATCTTGAATAATGCCTTTGACATGTTTCCTGAATTAATTCTTACACACTCAATTATCCTTATTTTTTGGAATTTCAAGCTCATTTCCTACACTTTTCAAGGTTTCAAAATTGATGGCTGTATCCATTTTGCGTTCAAATAAAATTTGTATATGGTACAAATTATGCAAGAAACAGGGTACGCTCATCTATTAAGATTGAAGCTTGTATTTTGAGTGAAATTGGACTTCACCATTCAATTCTAAAAATTTGTAAATGTAGGAAATAAATTTAAAATAAAAAAAATGCTTAAAATCAGGCCGGTAAAAATCAATCAAAAAAACATTAAAAAAAGCCTGTCCACTGCAGTATTCAGTAACAAGCGCTGATTTTTATGTAAAATGATTGTTACCATAATTTTATACATGTTAAAAAGTGTAGGAAACAAATTTAAAATGTCAAAAAATAATGAAAATTAAGCTCTTAAAAATCAATTGAAAAATATGACTAATTACAGTATCCAGAATGAACCGTTGAGTTTTATGGGAATTGAGTTTTACCATTAAATTTTACACACTTCTCAATGTAGGAAAAAACTTTAAAATTTCAAAAAAGCATAGAAAATAAGGTACACACATGTATGCAAACAATTAAGTGAAAAAGTGATGAATTAATTAAAAAAAACGTGTCAAATGTGGCATTCAAGGTATAGTTTTCATTTTGGGGAAAAATGGTTGTTACCATCATTTTCTACATGTCTTAAAGTGTGGGAAATAAATTTATAATGTCAAAAAATCATGAGAATTAAGCTGTAAAAAATTAAGTGAAAAAATGGGTCTAATTTCAGTATTAAAAATGAACCGTTGAGTTTTAAAAAAATTGGATTGCACGATTAAATTCTACACACATTGAAACCTAGGAAATAATTTTAAAATTTCACAAAAGCATAAAAAATAAGGTACATACATGTATGCAAACAATTAATTGAGAAATGAGTGAAAAAAAATAATTAATAATCAAAATTCATTTTTATGAAAAATGGTTTTTACCATTAAATTCTACGCCTTTTATAGTGTAGGAAACAACTTTAAAAATCCAAAAAAACTCGAAAAATAACCCATAAAAAAAGGGCCTTAATAAAAAAACGCGGTTTTTCCGCGTTTTGACGCGGTTTTGATGCGCCGCAGCACACGCGGTTTCCGCTTTTAGACGCGGTTTTTTAATTAATTTTTTACGGCTTATTTTTCGAGTTTTTTTGAATTTTTAAAATTGTTTCCTAGGTTTCAAAGCGCGTAGAATTTAATGGTGAAAACCAATTTCCATAAAAATGAGTTTTAATTATTAATTTTTTTTTTCTACTCATTTTTTCCATTAATTGTATGCATACATGTTTTTACCTTATTTTTCATGTTTTTTTTAAATTTTAAATTTATTTCCTAGGTTTTAATATGCGTAGAATTTAATGGCGCAATCCAAATTTTTTAAAACTCAACGGTTCATTTATAATACTGAAATTAGACCCATTTTTTCACTTAATTTTTTACAGCTTAATTTTCATCATTTTTTGACATTTTAAATTTATTTCCTACACTTTAAGACATGTAGAAAATTATGGTATCAACCATTTTTCCCCAAGTTGAAAACTATACCTTGAATGCTGCATTTGACACGTTTTTTTTAATTAATTCCACACTTTTTCACCTAATTGTTTGCATACATGTGTGTACCTTATTTTTTATGCTTTTTTGAAGTTTTAAAGTTGCTTCCTACATTTGAAAGTGTGTAAAATTTAATGGTAACATCCAATTTTCTTAAAACTCAACGGTTCATTCTGAATACTGTAATTAGTCATATTTTTCAATTGATTTTTAAGAGCTTAATTTTCATTATTTTTTGACATTTTAAATTTTTTTCCTACACTTTAAGACATGTTGAAAATTATGGTAACAATCACTTTGCATCAAAATAAAAACTGTATCTTGAATAATGCCTTTGACGGGTTTTTTTAATTAATTCTTACATGCTTAATTATCCTTATTTTTTGGAATTTGAAGTTCATTTCCTACACTTTGAAAGGTTTAAAAATTGCTGGCTGTATCCATTTTGCATTCAAATAAAATTTGTATACGTTACAAATTGTGCAAGAAACGGGGTACACTCATGTATTAAGATTGAAGCTTCTATTTTTAGGGAAATTGGACTTCACCATTCAATTTTAAACATTTTTAAATGGAGGAAATGAATTTAAAATTTCAAAAAATGATTAAAAACCAGCCGGTAACAAGCAATTAACAAAACATTAAAAAAAACATGTCCAACGCAGTATTCAATAATATTCTTTGGTTTTTATGCAAAATGATAGTTACCATCATTTTGAACATGTCTTAAAGTGTGGGAAATAAATTTGAAATGTCCAAAAATGATGAAAATTAAGCTGTAAAAAATTAAATGAAAAAATGGGTCTAATTTCAGTATTATAAATGAACCGTTGAGTTTTAAAAAATTTGGATTGCGCCATTAAATTCTACGCATATTAAAACCCAGGAAATAAATTTAAAATTTAAAAAAAACATGAAAAATAAGGTAAAAACATGTATGCATACAATTAATGGAAAAAATGAGTAGAAAAAAAAAATTAATAATTAAAACTCATTTTTATGGAAATTGGTTTTCACCATTAAATTCTACGCGCTTTGAAACCTAGGAAACAATTTTAAAAATTCAAAAAAACTCGAAAAATAAGCCGTAAAAAATTAATTAAAAAACCGCGTCTAAAAGCGGAAACCGCGTGTGCTGCGGCGCATCAAAACCGCGTCAAAACGCGGAAAAACCGCGTTTTTTTATTAAGGCCCTAAAAAAATTAATTAAAAAACCGCGTCTAAAAGCGGAAACCGCGTGTGCTGCGGCGCATCAAAACCGCGTCAAAACACGGAAAAACCGCGTTTTTTTATTAAGGCCCAAAAAAAAATCAAAGTCATTTTTATGGTAAATAGACTTTACCATTAAATTCTACACCCTTCAAAGTGTAGGAAAAAAATTTAAAAAATCAAAAAAACTCAAAATTAATGGCAAAAAAAATTAATTAAAAATGCGGGTTTAAAAGCAGAATGCGCGTGTGCTGTGCCGCAGCAAAAGCGCGTCAAAACCCGGAAAATGCGGGTTTTTTTTATTAAGGCCCTTTTTTTTATCTTTTTCACAAATTTTAAAATCTTGTTTTCTATTATTATTTTTTCATATTCATTCTTTGAAACCCATTTTCCACCATTCCACAAAATCTTGTGACTTGTTGTTTTTGGGTTCCTGCTGTGGAGCTCAAAGCAGATGGCTATAAAAATCTGGGAGAGGAGACTGTACATCCCCCATTTTGCAATCTACCATCAAGAACCAGAACCCTGAAGATCTCATCCTGCTCTCCCCAGAACACCCATAACATTCTAGAACCAAGGAGGGGATTGAAGAGGGAGTACTAGACTAAACATGTCAACTGGCTTATGTCATCATCTGTGACAGCCTCTTGTGAAAACCAATGGTGGAGGGGGTTTTAGAAATATGCATAGTTTTGCCTCCAGGTGATGTGTGTGTGATAAAAAAAAAATTTGTACAAAACATTCAGTTAAAATTTTGATTGGTTACTCTTTGTGAGAAATTTCAATTTCAATTCAAAAATTGAGACTCTCAAGTTGGTTCAACTTGAGTCTCAAGTTGGTTCAACTTGAGTCTCAAGTTGGTTCAACTTGAGATGATTTGAATTTGAAACATGTGTAAAAATGGATTATATCTCATTTTTTTCTATCTGTCAATTTCCTCAACCTTGGAAAATCACTTCTCAATTTTGAAGTTCTCAAAAAAAACTGGAAAGCTCATATAAGACTAGATTTGGTTTGATTTACTCTGGATTGATTTTGTGAAAGGTTTGTTTCTTCAGTCTTGAGATCTACAACATGTTTTGAAAAAGACAGTCAAAAAAAGGAAAGTAGGAAGAATTCCTCTGAAATTCATACTAAAATGGAATGCTTTTAGTGTTTTGGAAATTGCTTCTGAATTCACAAGATATGAAATTAATCTCAGTAATCCAAACTAAAATCATATGCAATGTGGCTGTTGCCAGCAAGGAAAGATAAAGCTAGTAAAATGCACACATTTTGTTAAATTGATTTACTTTGGTCCAAGCTTCCTACATTGAGCAGCTTGATCTGGGGTTATATACCTATGACCGTCTGCATCAGTGAGCTAAAAGCAAGTTGGAAGCAATTCAGCCCTGGGAATCAACTGAAAATGTTTTTTTTTTCAGTAGCGCTACTCACAGCAACATTGTTCCTTATCTCAGAAGCACAGCACTTGAATTCACTGGTACGATCCCAACAAATTTCTCCTGTCCCAAAGCCTCCTTTTTCAATTCCTCGTCGGGCCGGGTCTGCAACTTTAGAATTCAATCACAAGCACATATGTAATGTTTTTCTATGTGAGCTTAGATGAGCAGATTCTTTTTAATCTTGTTGGTAATTCATGCCTGCTTACTTTCCACGTAATCTTTACCATCAATTTTACCTCCATGCATACAGGTAATAGCTGAGCCCTTTGGACAGCGTGGTCGTTGATGTTGATTGGCAGCGACATATGATATCACTATCCACAATGATATAATATTTCTGTAGGAGAGCATGGTGGTTCGCAAGATTTATTTAATGTTGATAATGACAGAACAAAAAAGAAAGGCAAGTTTAAGTTGTAATGTGAGGATTGAATGTGAGTTTCTGAGCAAGTGAAGAGACGTGAGGAATGAAAAGGGGATGTTAAAGGTGGGGGCAATGTCGCACTATTGCTGCAAGAAAGGCCTTTTATTACTGAGTCCGTTACGTGAATATTTGGATGGTGCCCAGGTGACCGGGTGACTGATGATGGGGAAGGGAACAAGAGGAATGTAACCAAGTGGCGAGAGTTGACTCTTGAGACATGGAAACCGATGCCGTTCAACCTGAATATTTTTCCAGAAAAAACGGACCGTTTCTCCGGTGACATCATTGCAGTGCACGCTAAAATTGGTGACCAGGAAGGGGTGACAATTGTGACAATTCCGCCCTGCTCTATGACTTTTGAGAGTCTCTCACTTTGGTGGTGATGCTGGCTGGTAAGATCGAAAATAATTCAATTTTGGTTTCCAAGTTGTGGAGTAAACTCGAAGCTAGTGAAACACAGAAACAACCTCATTCCATAACCAGTAACCAATCTCAAACTGACTGTCTTTTAGGAGAGTCGGTATCACTGTTTGGCACTATTGCTAGGGTAGACGGACCCTCGCGAATTTTTTCACATTCAGTGACACAGTTGTGTAACCTTGATTGTGACTGAGCTGAAAGATGGCGGAGGGTAAACTAATGACAAGCTGAGGCATTGTGGCCAGTCAATTGGCGGCACATTTCAGAGAAGCATGTTCCTGCACAGACACCCTTGATATGATAGTCAAATTTAACAGTCATCATGGTGCTGAATTCATTGTTCCTCAAAAGGCGCTAACATTACGCCCGAATACCTCCTCAACCTGTTCTTATGCAATGAAAAAAAAAATAGTTTGGATTGATCAAATTACCCGAAACCGAGTTCTATTCTGGGTGCATAAAGTGGATCAAGTTCGACCATATCTTTCTAATCCGATGAAAATATACCAGCTAGATTGGCCTCATTGCGCTCTCCCGACTGCTTTCAATTTCAAATATTTCCTACTTGAGGAATGATAATGTCTGAAGACGAATATTTTGACTACCAACCACTCCATTTATGTAATAAGTAAATTTCACAATTGATGCATAAACTCCTGCTTCACCATTTGTGGTGAACTTTCACTTTTGCTCAAGATATGGGCAATATTGAATCCTTTATCAAGATACTACAGCAATTCAAGTGATTTCAGTCAGGTCAAGGTCAAAGGCTCATACTTCAATGAAGTCCATGTCCGGAATGGACTAAATCTTATCATATTGATTCCAAAGAAAATTTTGGCGAGGGCCGTATTTCGAATCTACACCAGCAGTAGAACAAAACAAATTGAGTACGCATATATAATTTCTGAAAGGTTTGTCCATTTGGTCAAGTACATTATATTGAAAGGAATTCCGTTGTCCATATTTTGAAAAGATTGATGTAGAAATGCTTGATGCGAAATCCCAGACGCCAAGGGTAGAATTGATTAGATTAGCCAAGAGAGACGATGTTGGCAGATTCTAAATTTGAGCTGAAGTTGCCGGCCATGGAGTAGAGCAACATTTTCTGTTCTGAAGAGGAGCTTAATTCCCTCGGCCAGCTTTAGCGGGAGGTCGATGAATACCTACAGCTGATACCAACAAAGCTGCGCTCACATGTTGCGAGCGCACATTTTTCTCTGGTGGGCGACCTGCAGCCCAAGCGGCGGCGCAATTGAAATCCGCATCACACGACGTTTTGACCATAGCTTTCACTGATGTATCGATGACGTTCTGAATGTCTTTCTTCAGGGCTTGATCATTGGTTTCTTGGTGGAGGTAGACAAGGTTTCGCACGTAGATGGCCTTGAAACCTTTTGGGTCACGCTTGCATGAATCAGGCTCGCACAGCTCTGCAATGACACCGGAGGGGGCAAAGACCTTCAAGGAGCGATAGAAAAATGGTGATGCCATATCGAGATACTTTTGATCCCCAGTTGCTCTATGCATCCAAGCAAGGGAGCCTAACCACTGGCCATAGTTATAGGACCATTCGTCCGGGGTGATTGTACAGCTTTCCTTTGTGGCTTTCAATCCATCCTGTAACCTTCCAGTCTTAACATCTGCTAGACCTGAGGAGGTCCCGATCACCCATTCAATGATTGTTTTTGCATATTCCAAGGCATTCTTGTCTTTTGTTATTAAATAGCCTCGAGCTGCTACTGAAATGAATTCCGAATTGGTGATCAATGCCTTGTAGCTTCCTCTATCAGGATCTGATCTGGTTCGGTACTAATACATCAAACAAAATTTCTATAAGGCTCAAAAAGAAGATTTGCTGCGATGAAATGAGAGAAACGTACCCAAAATAGGCCGCCTCCACATGACTGGTTTGTCTGAGGTTCGACTTGTCTCAATGTTTTCTGGGCAAGATGTATCCAGGTCTCACTTGATTTAGGTAGCTTGGTCTGTGGTCCAAAGTATTCAGCAGCAGCCACAGCTGCAGACGTGAGGAAAATTGACAAAAAGAATCAGTGCATCTCCTTATGGGCTGGAAGGGGCAATTTTGCTTGTCTCACCTGCCTATGTGCAAGCAAAAATTGGAGATTCAAGTTGCCTCAGCTTTCAGTAGCAAAATGTTTGACCTTTCCTTTACGTACTTGAGCTCCCCAGAGGGCATCGTCATTCCATTGTTGAGGAACATTGACGATGAAAGAACTGGGGGAGAAGGATTATGAATCTCTTGGCAGTTGTTACAATTATGATAAGCTACTTACTGTGACTGATTATTAGACTGTCGATACAGCGCATTCTGGACGGTGCCCAAGTGATGGGCATCTCCCACATAGCTGGCGTAATCAAAATTCAGACTCCAGATCATTAGAGATTCGTGCCATGGCGTCACGTCCGTGTCAAAGGCTCCTCTCTGAAATTCGTGTGTAATTAGAAAAATGATCAGATGTAAGTAAGAATTTCAACCGAAATGCTCAGGTTTGAAATATCACATTAAGTGGAGGACTTCCCGTCGGATCTGGGACCCTTGCAGAAGTCGATCTAGAGCCAAAAACTTTAAATTCTTGCAGGGAAATTTGAGGTTTGACGCTCTAAACCGACTCTGGGAGACCCGCAGAAGTTGACGGGAAGTCCTCCAGTTCACATACAAAATTGGGGCTGTAGTAAGACATGAGATTATTCATTGCTGCGGATGCCGCTTTCTTCAACTGGTCGATGTTGTTCAAGTCCAAGGCAGGTGCCGCTATTGCTAGAGGCACGAAATTGACCAATAGGCCGATTCCGATTAACAAAGATGGACAGCGCATTCTCCTTTGGCAACAGCAACCTTTCGTGAGGATTTGGCTGTATTTTTAAATACTTTGGGTGTCGGAACACTCTTGTCTTTGTTTTATCCAAGAGTTTTGGTAAAGGTAGCTGCAATTGAAGTGCGGGAGGATCTCACAACAAATTGAATTCCAAATAAAGATAAAGACTTTGAATGAGGAAGACAAGATAGCTATTCGGTGGTGATGAGAGGATTGGGCCGTTTGATTGCTAGCTTCAAGAAAGGAGAGACTCAGGCAGCGTTGACCTTGATCCGATCAGATGCAAAGAAGAGCAAAAGATGTCAATCAGAGGAAGTAAAACCCCACCCGGAGAGACTTGAACTTCATTTAGGTACTAGGTCAGGAGTTTTATGTCCTGATTTCCAGCTGAATCGATTCGATCGAAGATGTTGGCGAGGTCGACAAGTATCGCTGAACGGTTGCCCCATCTCGGAAGTGAGGGAGGGGCGCACTGCATCATCGTTTTTGGCGGCGCTACTCAACGGTCTGGCATCCCAGTGCAAGCTGCCCAGTCTTTTTTATCATCTGGCTGGTGCAACAGCGAGAACGAGTCATTCGGGACAGTGCACACCGTAAGCCTGTATTTGCCTAGTTCCGATAAAATCATTTATATGACTTGAAACTCTACGTTGTTTCGAGATGTCATGCTCCGCAACATCCATAGACGAGAGCTTGGATTGGTAATAGCCGTTCTCTTGGAATAACATTCCTTGCTCACTCCAAGGTTACGCTCCAAAATCCCAATGGGCAAGAGTTACAGTGGACATTAGATAGAGAATCTTTTGACTTCAGAGATGTACGAAAGGACGGTACGTAATTAACAAGCCAGGGTCTGTCGCATTTTTCCAATCATGATACGAGACTTTCCTCTCGGGGTTTGGCTAAGATTCAACTGTTCCCTGTTTGGAAATAAGCCCGTTCATCTACCCGGAGACTTCGGATTGATCTCATTTTTCGTTTTAGTTTCAATGAGGACGTGTAATCTATGAATTGGTCCACTTTTGTTTGGGAGAGCCTTCAAACAATGTATGTTTTTTTGCAACAGGACCAAACACGCTGAGTCTTCCATTTGGGGGCCCCTGCTGGTATAAAATCCGTCAGGAGATGATCCACCCCTTTCGACTATATCTCCCCTACTACATAGCCCAGGTACGGTGTGTTTTGAGCCTATGTAGGGGGGGTATCCAGCCCTCCCAATCCCTCGCGCGCGACCCTCTACATTGCACCTGAGGACACTATACTCCAACACTACATAGACCCCCACGCGCGCACACGCCAGGCAGTCTAGAGGCCTTCCTCCCAGCCATGAGTTAGAGCCACGCTGACCACGCAGCCACCCGACCACTCTGGCTTTTTTTTTCTCCAAGTCCCCTCTCTTTTTCCCTCCACCTCAACCGCTCCACTTCCCCCCGCGCGATTTATTACACCTCAAGCTTCACCCTTACATTAACACAACCCACACTTACACCAATTCCGACACACCCTTAACACTACCACTACGGCCTCGCACTAACACTACAATCCCTTCTTACAAACACTACACACCCTTACACCAACGACATGAATCCAAACTATCCAGCAAGTTTTCAACAAAGCCAACCATTAACCCTACCAAATATCAGACTCTACTCCAATCCGACACAGCACTCACCTCACCAGTCAATCCCCCACCCTGGAACTGCTTACCAATTCACCCCCCAATTGCATTCCGATGGCACCCTTGCTAATCACGGTGGTAGCTTGGATAATCTTGATGGTGATTTTGACAATCATGGCAGTGGCTTCGACAATCATACTGGCCGTTTCAGCGATCATGGCAATGGTTTTGACAACTACGGCGGCACCGACGGTGGTCATGGTCTCGAAAATCACAGCAGAGGTTTCGACAATCACACCGGCAGTTTCAGTAATCAAGGCGGCGGTTTCGACCATTACGGCGGTGATCGCGGTCTCGAAAATTACGATGACCATTTGGACAATCATGGCAGCGGTTGCGACAGTTACACCGCTGGTTTCAGCAATCATGACAACACTTTCGACAATCCCAGCGGCAATGCCGACCATAGAGGCCACACGATTAATCATACCTCTGAAGGTCAACACCGTTCAGATGCCAATGCCAGTGCTTCCGGAGGTCAGGCATCTACTATCACCGCGCGTCAAGCTCAATGCCCTAGTAGATCCAACGTTCCAGCCACCACAGTCCATGCCGCTGGCAAGCAAGGAATGACCAGGCCCACTGCAGGTCAAGCTCAACCCACTGCTAGAACCGATGCCGCAGCCACCACAGTCGATTCCGCTGGCGAGCAAGAAGCCACCATTAGGCCTAATCCCGGCCGACGGGCCCCTCCAACACGCGAAATCAATCAAATCCTCAAAAGGTTGGCCAAGGATAGACAGCCTTCTAACCCCAAAAACCCCAGTCATCCAGCCCCAGTCATCGATCCAACAACCGAGGCCACAACCAATCCGAGCTTGGCCAACAATGAAGGAAATGAGACTAGTGTGACCAACCTTGTCCCTACCACTGATATTCGCCGCAACAACCCAGATGGTGAACATGGGGACAACGATGACGAACGCCTCACCGAGATACCCGAAGATATAATGGACGAAATTGTAGGTATGGATCTTGACGAGTTGCGTGAATATGAAGCTCTCCATGCCCAGTCCAAACGACTTCCAGCGTACCTTAAAGCCGAGGTGGACGACATGTACTATGAGTTTGAAAGACAACTCCACATACTAGCTATCAAACACCAACTCCATGCTACACTTCTATACACTCATATTGGTCAGACCAATCGAATGCGAGGGGCCACGAACTACAATAATTTTTGCCGCTTTGATCCTAAAGCACGAGAGGTCTTCTCGGCAAGTAAGTTTGTCATTTCTCTGTTATTAAATAAAGCTCTGACTTACTCAGGTTGTAAAATTGCATGACAACAGAAGATCAGCCACTCAAGGAACGATGCAAGGGAGTGGCTAAGCTATGGAACGAGCTGGATCCCGATATTAAGATAAAGTATAAGGACCCCGACTATATTGAATCCATTCGCGGCAATGTTCCTATTGTAGTCGTGAATGGGGAAATCCAGACTGCCCGAAAGACTCATGTGGCAAATACAACACTCTACCTTGGATCTAACAAGCAAAGTGTTTCATTTGTCAAGCGATGGTTCAAAGACACTGTTGATCGCGTAAGTTTCTTGTCTCATCTTCCCTAAATATATTGATATTTACTGCTCAGAACATTGCCTGACGATTTTGAATTCAGATGAACGAGATAGCCAATTGCCACCGTATTCAAGGGATGTTGATTGTTGCCTCCGCTCGATCTTCCGGTGACCTTTTTTTGCAAGGTGGCACAAAAATGGGCAACAACTTCATGCACATGCTTGTTGATGCTGGCGATCCCTTGCGCAAGTTTCATCCCTATGTCGCTGGACTGTCTGTCATCGAAGAACTAACAAATCAAGCAGGTGAAGTCAGCGTTCCGGTTGGCAAAACAGCCGGCAACAATGCATCCGGCTCCGCGCAAGCGACTCGGAAAAGGAAGCACACTGCGATTGATGAAGACAATGATAGTTCCCCACAGGATAAATACTGTACAGGTGAGTGTTAGTTGCAATCGTTCCAGACCATCAAAATCGTCCTGTTAATTTTTCTTCTACATTTGATTGACAGGGACTCTCAAGGAAAGCAAGAAGATCATCAGCAGGGAGCTGCTCAAGCTACTGAGTAAGTCAAGCCAAACCAATTATGGACTACTTCATCAATCTTTATCAATCTTCTCACTTGTTGTGTGTTCCCTAGATGCTGTGAGCAACAAGCATTTCCGCGCTTGGCCGGGCACAAATTGTGCCCGCGAGCTCAAAGCAGCAAATATCAAACTGACGATCAAGAAGAACCCCGAACATTTTAATGCAAATGAGCTCTGTCAACCAATCAATGCAATTAAGATCATCCCAGCTCAGAGGATACGGCGCGCGATTGGTGAAGGATGGATTCAGCTGAAACACGAAAATAATCACGAAGGCACCAATGCAGCCTCTAAAAAGAAAAACCAATCCAAGAACCCTGCTACTCGACGCGTGGCCAAAACCAAACAATATAAAAAGAGAGTATCAGCTGCATCTGATGAAGATAGCAATGAAGAGTCTGTGTCTGAAGATGATGATGAAAGCGAGGATGGCCCTGGAGATTCCGGGGATTCTGAGAGTGATGGTAATTAGATCAGCAATTGTTAGTTTAGTTCTAGTAGTTTCAGATATTTTCTATTTGATTGATATTTTTCTTGTGGCTTGACATACCAAATAAGAATATAAACAACAAATAAAAGATTACAAACATTCTGTCTGTTTTCTGAACTCACAAGGTAGCAAAATGCATCTTGTCAGGGTTATGATTTTTTTAAAGAGGCAATCACTGCACAAAGAATTTGTGTTTCTGGGATGATTAAGATTCAGAATTAATCCAAATTTATATCATTATATCATAATTTTATGAGAAAGAAACAGATGTTGAGATGAGATGATATGGCTGGTTAGTAGGTAAATTGTTTTACTGTTTTGTTGGAAGGAATTGTAGCATCAAAATTCAAAAGTAGGACTCTCTTGTATGTGGTAGAAAAAGTGGTTCAGATGTCAAGATTCTCCCATCATTGCTTTGTATTAGGATGTTTGCTGAACTTTTTGAACAGATAGTCAGAGTTTATCAAAAAACAAAATCAAAAGTCATCAAGATGTAAAGATCTTCCCAATGTGAACTGTCCAGAATGGCTCTCAAGTTTTCAGATAGAAGGAATTACTGCAAGGAAATTCAAAGGTGGAATTTTTAGGATGATCAAAATGGAATCTGAACTTACACTCAGACTTCAGGTATAAAGAAAGAGTGGTTGAGGTATGAAGATTGTCCCAATCTGACATTTTGGTAAGAAAGTGGTTTTACTTTTAACTTTTAGGTTGCAAGTAAAGTAATTACTGCATGAAAATTTGCAGGCAGGCAAATTGCCACACCTCCAAAATGTAACTTACCTCTTTGTTTTAATCAAGGCGAAGAAGTCATGAAACATGGGGTCATTCTTGAAATCATGGGTAATGTGTCCAATTTCCAGGATGACCCCATGTTGCTCTGGAGTGATACAAGGTAAATTGACCATTCCAAAGGGTGTATTTAGGTTTGATAGCGTTATAAAACAAACATACCAGAATTGGAATGGGCGATATGACTTGACTACCTCCAGAGCAGGATGGGACCAGGCAGGGATGAGTAGACTATCAGGATGAGATGATGTGACAAGGAGTCTCTATGTCCTGCCTCACTTCAAGTCGTGTTCACATCACTGAATGTTCAAAATTTTACAACTTAACCATCCACCTTCTCCGGTCCACTTTTTTTGCCCTCAGCTCTATGACCCTATTCTAATTTCAATTTTATTGCAGACTCTCCATGGCTCCAACACCAGCTCGGCGAGCCCCTGCCAGAAACACTCCAGCTAGAAATCCAAGATCTTCACAACCTACCTCATCCAGATCAATCGCACCCAAGCCTACCAGAACTAATAGGATCAATCCCTTTCGACATGAAACTCCAACGGCCCAGATGTTACGCGAAAGAAATCAAGCCCGAAACCAGCGGTCATTTCAACGGATGCAGGCCTCACAGCGTGGTGGATTGCTAAGGCCGTCATCCTCACGAGCTCCTCGATCACATCCTCAGACCCTTGAATCCTCTGGCGAACCAAATGGCCCATCTCAACCATCGGACGACCTCTGGGACCAATTCGATACAACAGAATGGGAGACTTTACAAGAATCCCCGGCTCCAGCGATCACATCCATTTCCCAACGGATTTATGACTTCAATGCACTTCGAAGTAGACAAAGGCTAGCCGAAAACTGGAACAGAAACATACCTCAACTCCATGGTGTTTACTTATGGCTCAAAGTCAAAACTGGTAACTGGACGTTTGATTGTGCCTTCGATTCGTTTGAAGATCAGGTTTGCCAATGCAATTCCTTTACATACCGGACTATAGATCTTTTTGACCTGATGTGTACGTTTTCCTCACTTATTTCCCCCTTCATTTGTGGACTTAAAACTAATTTGCGCAAACAACCAATAAATCCAGGGCAAAAGCGGATCCGGCAAAAATTTTGCAAGTGTATCCCTGACGTTGTAAGATTATTAACCTTGGGTTACATTGGAAGCTCTCCAGTTCGCCCAAGGACTGCCTTTTCAGTCCGACTCCTGCAGTTTCACAATCTTGCGTGGCAGTGGTGCAGTGTGGCCACCCTCCCTTTCACCGAAATGCTATCGCGTTGGCTAGAAGAAAGGTCAGAGAAACTGCTCAATGCCGAACGTACAAAGGTAAATCATCAACAATTTTATATAATAATAAACCCACTTCTTGAAATTAATGTACTGGAATTGCTTGATTCAGCGTCGCGAATTACGGAAATGCTTCTCGGCTGCAGTCGACATCTTTCGCCTGATGTTGCTCAAAACCAACGAGCTTGTTTCAACTTCGCTCCAGCTTAGTAAAACACAAAAACTTGCCCGATCCTCTTGTCCGGCATGCTTCGGGCCAAATGCTCCAGAAGACACTCACCACCCAAGAACTACTGTCAAGGATTCATTGGTAGTATGCCTCGATGGCAATTTCCAACACCGCCATAACGCAAAGGCTGGAGGCACTGCCCCTTTGACAATCCCTCCTATATTTCTGGAAACGGAGCGAGTCAGTCAGATGCGGCAAAGTATTAATAACCTAGGAACTTGCAATGAACCAGTAAGCTACCCGATCCCAGTTGCCTCGCTCCATCCTTGACACAAATCTAACACTGATTCAATCATGATACCAGGTTGATCCTTGTTCTGAGTCGCACAAAGCTGCAAACGACAAGCGTTGCGAAACAACCTGGAAGGGTTGTGACGATACTGGGCTAATGGGATGTTGTTGCCGCCATGATCAGGTTTTATATTTGGCAAACATCCATTGATCCGGTGAACAGAGATGTCTTCCCCTGGCAATATTGAAAAAACTATTTGAAGACATTGAACCGAGTCGACCGGTTGGTATACTATATGACATTGGTTGCTCATTGAAAAAGTTTCTTGACCTAGTAAGCCCATTACTTCCTCTGGATTGCAAGATAGTTGGTCTGATTCTAATGTCCATCATGTAGCGCAATTACTTTGCATTTCCATCCAAGAAAGACCAGCTACAATTTGGAACTTCCGTGTTCCATGCATATGTCCATGAATGGAAGTGTCAGGTCAAATTCAATCCCCGATACAACACTGGCTGGGGTCTTTCGGATGGCGAGGGATTGGAACGACTGTGGTCATCTTTGTCCCCACTGGTACGAACACTACGATACTCATCCCGGAATCATCGGCTAGCTGCTCTGTCTCATCGGTGTCAATTTCATAACTCGGAGGGGCTGAGTAGCATGAGTAAGTAAGGCTGAGAGGAAATTATTTGGATTATTTTTTGACATGTAACTGCTTAGTTCTCTGGTTGCGTAGGAAGTATAGCGCCGCCAAAGGCCGTAGGCGTCAAGCGAAGGAATCCCTGAACGAATTGCTCCAAAAGCCGAATCCATTTTTAGATAATGGAGGCAACTACACACAACAATTTTTTATGTCGCAATGGGAAAATCAAGTGAATTACTTGGATCGGGTGACTGCAGAAGAGATTGAACGACGAAAGAAGCTAACAAAACTCTTGGAAAAAGAGGAGGCACTGACGAAACTCCGGTGAGTTCCTTTGAGCAAAAAAATTGTAATTACTTCATTTGAGTTGAATCAATCTATCAACAGGAACATATTGGAGCAGAGGGACTGGGATATTCAAGCCAGTGTAATCGATCGTATCATAGAAGAAATTGGCCATACTGAAAACTGTCAGAGAGAACTGGCTGAGGAGCTGGGATTTCTTTATGAGACAGATGCTATTGATGGTACGTTCATCCAATTCCACACCATCCGAAATGCTTCAACTCGATTAAAGGTCTGAATAATATGTACTGTGTACTGCTAAATTTAAGTTGAGAAAGAGAAGCGGCTGTTGCTCATCTGGAGTGCTAAAAGAGATCTCTATGCGAAAGCCATCGATATTATGGGTGTGCGACAACCTATTTCTGAATCGCAAACATGGGGAAGAAGGGTTGGGACCAAACTGAAGGAGAAGATTTATGAATCCATCAAAAACCGCAAAGCCGCAGTCCTTCGGATCATTGCAAAGTACAACGAGCGATATCAAGCTTATCTAAGAACATACGAGCCGGACGTCTTGGCTGATCCGTCATTTGTATCATTGACATGGGATTCGTTTGTATGTTTGACGCTGGACGACGAATTTTGGGTCGATGCAACTTATTATGGTTCACAAGCTCCTTGGGCGATTTCGTCGGATGTGCGCAAGGGCATACGGGCTTGCCATATGGTGGACAGAACCGGGGAAGAGTTGGACATGATTGCCCAGGAACTGGGACGTGCGATGACCTGGGCTGTCGAGCTTAACTCAATGCTAGATAACCTTGCTACTCAACTTCGTGAGCTTGATTCTTCCTCTATTTGTCCATGGACGGTGTTCTGACGGCTTGTTTACTGTAGACAACATCCCACCTGGATCAAACACGATTGTGACACCAACTCAAGTTGGGACACTGGACCAACAAACAGGTCAGCAAGTGCTCAAATTTGAGCTTTACATTCAGCTTGCGGAACATCATGAGTTGATGCGATCATGGGCTAGCGATGTCGAATGGCTGTGGTCCAAGACCCGCGTGGCAGGCAGCTCGCACACATGGTTTGAAACCGTGGGTCGTCTCAAGATTAACACTGATCCCACAACCGTTCTTGATCCTGAGCCGGTTCCAGGTTCAGATGAGATGGATGAGACCTTACAAGAACGCGCATTCTTGGAAGATGCTGAGGATGGAGAATTGGCAGATGATAACAATGTGAATGCTATGCTGGAGAATGAAAATGAAGGGTGGGAAACCGATCCAGAATGAATGCCATACATGACTCCCTTTCTACTGCTTGTTTTTTCTTTTAACTTAGCTCAGCTTTGATGGATTGTTTGTCGCAACTTTTCTTAAAATACTATACTTCCACCAAAATTAAGCAGATTTGTAATGTGCCATTGCATGAAATACGAAATTAACAAGTGATTAGTAAACAAACAATCAACAAAAGCAACAAAATTTGATAAATTAGAAAAAAAAAGTCAAAAGATGGTGGAAAGGACTACTAGGGGTTATGATGCAGTCATTCTATCCGCTTTGAAAATTGAATTAAGATTGACCAAAGGAAGAGGTATTGCCAGTTGTTTAACCTAGTTTGCAAATGAGGGTGAAGTCGGAGTGGGTGTAGTGCGAGGGTGTAGTGTTGCAAGGGTGTGTAGTGTTTGTAAGAAGGGATTGTAGTGTTAGTGCGAGGCCGTAGTGGTAGTGTAAGGGTGTGTCGGAATTGGTGTAAGTGTGGGTTGTGTTAATGTAAGGGTGAAGCTTGAGGTGTAATAAATCGCGCGGGGGGAAGTGGAGCGGTTGAGGTGGAGGGAAAAAGAGAGGGGACTTGGAGAAAAAAAAAGCCAGAGTGGTCGGGTGGCTGCGTGGTCAGCGTGGCTCTAACTCATGGCTGGGAGGAAGGCCTCTAGACTGCCTGGCGTGTGCGCGCGTGGGGGTCTATGTAGTGTTGGAGTATAGTGTCCTCAGGTGCTACATTGCAAAAAAGTTACATACATCGATTTGATTTTGACATTGTCCTGCCGTTTGTCCGATCCAATAGGACTGTTTGTCCGATCCGATTGCCAGACGGATTCAGAAGCATTGTGGCTGATCCGATGATACTTGCCGTCAGTAAAAGCAGAGTTGGCATCTGAATGACATCAACCCAAGTTCGACTAAATCCCACTAGCAACTGGCTGCGACTACCCTTACAAAACCCTCCTTCCTCCAAGCGCATCTCCCGACCCTACGACAACGATATCATGACTCCCCGGACGCCAGGACACAGGATTGTTGGTACAATGTCAACCGCAACGACCAGACGCCCTCGAGCCCCCAGACAAAACGAACGCGAAATTGCTGCAGAAGAACGCATCCGTCGCAATGTGCAATCAGGCCGAAGGCTGGGTCATATTCCTGAAGCTCCAATACCACCCGATCTACCCGCGACAAACCATGATATAGCCAACTGGATCGATGTGGAAAACGAACCGACCGACCAGCCTCCTATCGAAGAAAATCAACAAGATCAGTGGGAGGACGAGGATCCCATCTTAGCCCATGCAAGCTATCATCAAATGCGGCGTTACACCGAGCGGCGAGAGGCAATCAGTGCGCAATGGGCTCAACTTGAAGTTTCGGCAACATCAGCTTTTTTTCAATGCCAATATCAAACACTCAACTGGACCCGTACCCCAACAAGCTTTGACGAACCCATTCAATCATGCACATGTTTGCCCAATCAAATTGAAAAGCGAAATGTGGATCTGATTGACTTGCTCTGTAGGTTTTCTCCTCCCAAGACCCATGAACTCAACTACTCTCCTGCTACTCTCCTGATTTCTGACAATTTCTCTTCCGTAAGACTATCGTGCACACGAAGCCATCCCATTCTGCAAGTGTATGCCTGATGTTGTTAGATTGATTCACTATGGATTTTTTGCTTCGTCTGCCGACAAACCAAGGACCGCCTTCTCGATCAGATTAATACAGTTTCATCACAATCTATGGCAATCTGCGGTCATATCTTCTTCAGCATTTGTTAAAGCCATCTCAACCTTCTTGGATAGTCGAAGCAGCCGAATGCTGTTTGCTCGCGGGAACAAATTCAGAAAACGGAATCTCCTTGTACCTTTCAGCTTCAGTGCCGACCTTTTTTCCCGCATCCTTGTACGGGAGAAAAAGATTCTCAATGATGGATTGGAACTCTCTAAAGCTGAACTGTGGGCAAACAAGTGCCCTCGATGTTTTGGGCCCAGCTTACACGAAGTCAAATCAAATCCAAATGAACCTGATGTAATCATAGCCATGGATGGAAATTTCCAACAACGCCACTATTCCCATGCTAGTAAAGATGTTCCTTCTGAAGATCAGTATCCGGTTGACTTTATCCCGCCATCCGCACTTAATACAGATGTTGAAGCTGTTGAGTCGACTGAGGCTGAAGCCATTGGAATTGATGTGAGTCCGATTTATCAACATTCCAAGGGGAATATGTAAGCTCACCAGTGCCACTTGGTATTCAAACCCGCTAGCCACCATGTTCTGATTCTCATAAAGCAGCCAACGACACTCGAAGTGGAACAAGCTGGGAGAAGTGTGACGATAACGGTGTTTTTGCCAGTGCATGTCGGCACGATGTCCCATTGCTCTTTGCCAACATCTTTCAGACAGGAGAGAAGTAAGCCAATTGAGCCCTTGTATTCCACATTGTTTGCTAGCATCAATATCAACTGACATCAAAACATAGGCTTTACTACCCAGTATCAATCATCAGGAATATTCTAGCGGATTTCCCAGCTCACAAATTTGGCATCCTCTATGATCTTGGGTGCCATCTAGAGAGTCACGTGAGGAAGGTGAGTTAGTTTCAACTATTCCTTTGCTGTTGATTACCATACTGACCAATAATTTCAACTAATCCTTTGCTGTTTATTACCATACTGGCCAATAATTGAGCAGCGGGGATTATTGAACAATCGGATTGGTGACCTGGTGTTTGGAACATCTGTGTTTCATGCTTTTGTGCATGAATGGTCATGCCAAGTTAAGTATAACCCCCGCTTGAATTCTTGGTGGGGTCTATCAGATGGCGAAGGCCTAGAACGGCTCTGGTCATTTTTGTCACCCCTAGTATCTTCTCTTCGGGTCTCAACTTGACTACATCGACTCACCCGACTCCAGGCAAGAGCCGACTATTACTCAGAACATCTCAATTCCTTATCAGCCCAATGGTTGCGCAACAAATATCTGTATGCCACGGATGCCGTAAAGGCCTCTTCTTTGGCTCTTGGGGAACTCCATACACAAGCCAACCACTTTAACGCAGGACACAACTACACGAATCTTTTTTTTGAGGAGCAATGGCGGCTTGAGCAGCAGTATCACCGGCGTACAAATATAAGTGTGAAGAACCAAAAAATTCAACTTGGCCGGCTGTTATGTCTAGAAGAATCTCTTGAGGCTGCATGGTAAGCTATACAACCATGGCCTAAGTTAATTGTAGTAGGTATACTTGCTGATCACCTGATCCAATTACAGGAGAAACATCCCAATTACCCCTGAAGAATCTTTTGCTCATGCAACTGCTTGGGCTACTCTCACCCAAAGGATTGCCACACAACGGGCTAAAGTTGGTGAAGACCTGCTGACTGCTGTAAGTGGAATTGAGACCAGTGAGTTAAATTTTTCATGGCTATTAAAAGACATGGCTCACACTGAGACATAATTGAAAAACATCAAACAACCGCAGTCGAAGAAAGGGACTTACTATTGATGGTCTGGTACAACAAGACAGAGCTCAGAAAAAGGTTCTTGGCCTTAATTGAGGAAAAGCAACCGTTGGTACGAGTCCGCCGTGCTGGAGAAAGTAGCTCAATTGGTGAGTATTTCTTTGAAGCAAACTTTCTTGAATAAAAACTTAGAATTGATTTTATGAAGGTACACGCGGTCAGCAAAAGCTAATGGCTTTGCTACGTAAGCATGGTGAAAAATTGGAGACAGTACTGGCTTCTTACACCAAACAAGTGGATAAGTATGTTGCTACTTACCCAACTCGACCAAATCCACCTTTGATTGGGTATTCAGAACTCCTTGAGCTGCCTTCCGATGACCCTTTCTGGAATGATGGCTTGTTTACTGAAGGCAATGCAGCATGGGCAATTGATCGTAAAACCCAACTTGGCATCCGGCACTTAGCTTGTTTAAATCGTGGTCAAGAAGAACTTCGCCGACTCGGATGGGAAACTAGGAGGTCCATGCAATGGGCTATCAACCGTAACAACAAACTGAAAACGATGATCCGTGTAGTCAGGGAACAACTGTCTGGCGAACCAAATGAAATAGTGGAGCTTCCGGAATTACTTCGGTCCATTGTAGGTCACGCGGACCTCCAATCAAATGACAGCATGGCTAATAGGCTGACCTGTGTGAGGGTCATACTGCATGCGGCTGTCATCAAGCACATGGATCTTCAATTGATGTGGGATCCACTCATCAGTGAGATCTTGTTAAATACCTCGCCTCAGAACAACGATGACGACATCAAGTCAGCTTGGAAGAACCAGCTAGACCACATTCATCACCTCCACCGCAGCCGATCCTTCTCTGGAATCCCTGGAGACATGGATGATGCAACACTTACATACATCATACCCGAAGCCGAAGAAGGAGAAGGAGAAAGCTCTGTAGGTATAAATTCACAAGATCAGCCTCAAACTGTGGATGATGATCAAGATTTTGAGGAAGATGATGGCCAACAGCCCTACCTTGACGAAATGGAGAGCCGGTTATCAGTCAACATGCTTAATGATTTAATCCAGCAAAATAGTAGTTGAAATTACCACCTTTTTTTACTCTCTTGTTTAGCAACATGTTAATTTGATGGAATGTCCCTGTGAATGGAAATTTTTGCATGTTCTCTACTGTTTATGAGATCTGTAGAATATGAAGAGGGAGTGCATTTTCACAGAGAAAACATGAGAAATATTTGTTTGTGTACAAATTTGTTTTAGTTTGGGGTAGTCTAGAACATTGAGACAAATGAAACCAGCATTGGGTCACTCCAATTATGTTCACATTTATAATTAGAGTGACCCCATGTTGGTGCAGAGTAAGACCACTGATATGATTCCAAAGCAGAGAAAATTAATTTATACACTGTGTTCATCATAATCAAATGTTTTGGAATCATGCAATTAGCCTTACTCACTGAAAACCAAAATTGGTCCACTCCTATTATGTGCACATTAATTAGAATGACCCCATGTTGTTTCAGAGTGAGTAAGCCTACTGCTATGATTCCAAAGAAGTTAATAATGATCCACATAGTTTACAAATGAATATTATATGCTTTTGAATCATTCAAGTTGGCTGGATAAATTTGGAACAACATGGGGTCATTCTAATGAATGTGCACATAATGTTGGTTTGGAGTGAGTAAGCCAAATTGCATGATTCCAAAACAGTTAATAATGATCCACATGTGTATAAATCAATTTTATCTGCTTTGGAATCATATCAGTGGTCTTAATCACTCTGCACCAACATGGGGTCACTCTAATTAATTTGAACATATTTGGGGTGGCCCAATGCTGGTTCAGAGGGAGTAAGCTTACTGATATGATTCCAAAGCATATAATAATGATTCACATAGCTTAAAAATAAAGATTCTATGTTTTTTAATCATACCAGTAGTCTTAATCACTCTGCAGCAACATGGGGTCACTCTAATTTTGTGCACATTAATTATAATGACCCCATCTCCAAAGTTAGTCACCCAACTTGAATGATTAAAAAGCATAGAATCTTCATGATTGAACTATGTGGATCATTATTAAATTCTTTGGAATCATATTGATAGCCTCACTCTGGACCAACATTAGGCCATTCTAATTATGTTCACATTGATCAGAGTGACCCCATGTGGGTGCAGAGTGAGTAAGCCCGCTTGCATGATTCCAAAGCAGTTGATAATGATCAACATAATTTCAAATCAAAATTAATATTCTCTGTTTTGGAATCATACAATTTGGCTGAATAACTTTGGAACAACATGGGATCAGTATAATTGATGTGCAGATGATTAGAATGACCCAATATTGGTTCAGAGTGGGTAAGCCTACTGATATGATTCCAAAGCATTTAATAATGATAAAAATAGCTCACAAATGATGATTCTCTGATTTTGAATCATATCAGTAGTCTTTCTCACTCTGCACCAAAATTGGCTCACTCCTATTATGTGCACATTAATTAGAATGACCGCATGTTGTTCCAAAGTTAGTCAGCCAACTTGAATGATTCAAAAGCATAGAATCTTCTTTCCCAAGCTATGTGGATCATTAGTAACTGCTTTGGAATCATATTGGTAGGCTTACTTGCCTGAACATACACTGGGTCATTCTAATCATGTGCACATGATAGGAGTGAACCAATGTTTGTTTGCAGTGAGTAAGGCTAATTGCATGATTCCAAAACAGTTGATGATGATCCGCATATTTTATAAATTAATTTCCTCTGTTTCGAAATCATATTGGTAGTCTTCACTCTGCACCAACATGGGGCCACTGTGATTAATGTGCACACAATTAAAGCGACCCAATGCTGGTTCAGAGTGAGGAAGCCCAATCTCACTAGAATAAAAATTTCACTACCTAGGGAGAGTATAACCATGAAAGTTATTGGTCTCAATTTTCTAGACTACCCCACACTCAAACAAATATTTCACATATTTGCTCTGTGAAAATTCACTCCCCCTTCATACTCTACAGATCTTAAAAACAATAGAGAACACGCAAAAGTTTTAATTAACCGGGACTTTCCATCAAAATCCACTGTCTCAAATTATCATACCTCTCAATTTATATACATACACAAATAGACATTTCTCATGTTGCATATTCTTGATACAAGGCCCTTTCCAGCCAAAATTTTGTAAGCCCTAACTGGAATTTGAGATATGCATCAAGTTTCACAACTTTGTCTGGTCCAACAATACAAAATTTGAAACTCTGCCTGGTCCAACAGTCCAAAATTGGATACAGATTGCCTGTGGTTAGAAACTTTGCAGCTAGACAGTCCTTTTGCAATTTGTCATTTTCTAGACCTATGACACAAGAATTTTAAAGTTTAATATCAAAAGTAATTGCAATGATTATGAATAGCTGTTTCAGGCTTGCTAATTGGCATGGGGTTTCAGAAACCCCCCTGACTTCCAATACTTTGTTTGTGACCTAGTTGGATTGAACTCCGCTTGCCTGTTCAGTGAGTTGGAGGTGTTGCGAGTTCAAGCCTCCAGGGGGATGGAAAAGCACAGGTGCTCCAAGGTTGAGTGTGATAGAAGAATTTTGTCGCGCCTTCCCCTCGCATTGCCGATCGATCTCCCGAAAGAAGTGCACTATGATACCCATGACTATTGGGGACATGGTTGGTCTGATGAGATTTGAGGTTTGGATCTTATCTGCATTCAAAACCTCACAACTTTAGTCAGCCATGCTTCGTTCACAAGTCCTGAAGTAGGTTTTTGTTGATATCAAGAAGGTGTGCTTTGAAGAAATCTGGTTGGCCTTCTCCCATTTTTTTAAGTAGAAATAATTCGATGAGAGACATGTGAAAGGAGGACATAACAATCTTGAATCAAGTAATCTCAACAACAAACTCAGAAATTTCAACACGGCAAGTGGATCAAGAGGATAAATGAGAGTCGGGGACAAGCAATGTTGAGACAGGGAGTGGGGATAATCATTGATGCCAGGGGAAACAGATGAGTAATAGCCATCTTATTGATGAGTGTCATCAGCTGAACGGGTAATGCGTACAACATCTATCAAGTTTTCGTCAAGGTCAAGATGAAGCGCTGTTACCTGGTCTACAAGAAGTCCCCGACTAGGATTCTGAATTAATTGAGGGTTGATCCTGGCGTTTGGCGAAATGACCAATCGGAAACCGGCAAGAGACATGTAGTGTTGAGTTCTCTTCCATGGCCAGCGCTTCATTATACCCTCGGTTTTGGAAACTAGTGGTGTGAATAAGACTCAAGACTTAGTGAGTGGGGCAGAACCTAATACAAAAGAAGCAGCTCACTAATCAAATTTTTCATTCGCGCAGTGACCTTAGCTGAATGGGCCGGATTTTTGATGTCTTGTTTGGAAGGTGCTGTCGCTAATACTCTGAGCTTTGTCACACTACACCCAGTGATGTGGGCCTGTAGACGAGCAGCGTAATGGTTCTCGGCATCGACATCCTGGGCACATTGCACTGCGTCACCAGCACCCGGAGTACTATGAGTGATCTGGAACATACTCGGTCCTAAGTGCTTTGACACTGCAAAGAGGGCAAACTCAACATTGCGACTGGTGGCAATGTGAGTCGCCTGCCAAAAAATTCAGTTGACAAGGATTTCACCGATCAAGAGAGACGGGGGAAGGGGCTTACCTTTTTGATAAAGTCATTCACATAGTTCTGGACAAAGAAGTAGTCATCCTTGAAGGATGCCTCACTTCGCACGTTTGGACCCCCAGGGGGTGGAGAGTCATCGTCATCATTGTCATCTTCATCGAGGGCCCTTTCCTCAGCAGTGAGCCCATCGTCGTGGAAAGCCGAGACCCTCGAGAAAGCCTTCTTCTCCTCCGGCGAGAGCTGTTGCCACAGCTCCGAAACCTTCTTCATAGCTAATTCATGGTCAATCCCGTTGGCTACCAATTTTGGATTCACAGAGAAAAATGTCAGCTACTTGTCTGGAAGGAAACGTTGCAGTCAACTTTACTTACTCTCTCGAAATATTGCTCGCGCTTCTGGGGTCTGGAGGTAGAGATTCCAGCAGTTAGGACCCTTGACCGCAATTCGCTTGCCCCTGTTTGCTTAGTGATTTAGTCAGTGGAAAATTGATAATGGGCAATGTATTTTAAATATTGCTTACAAGAAGCCATCAACCATGGGGACTGAGACCTTGCGTTCGATGGCCTTGATGACAAGCATCTTTCGCTGCTCTTCGTAGAAATCGAGGAAACATTTTCGGTCGGCTTCAGACATTGATCCCTTGGAGTTTTCAAAAGCAAACACAGCGAGTTCTTGGTACGTTTTCTCAAGGAGCCTGTCAAGTGATTGGGGCTGGGTGGCTTGATCATCGGGAGAACGCTTGCGTTTCTTGTTTGCGGCTTGAGAAAGAGAAGATGAGCCAGGAGGTATTTCGACTGTGTCAGATGGCCTTGGTTGGGTGGTTGGCGTGGAGTGAGACGACATGGCGCAATGATATGAGGGAGGCTAGTAGATGGGTTGTGGAGCTGATGTCAATGACCACGTTGATCACTTGGAGTCGGTGGGCCAGGCGGTTGTCCTGGTTGGATGGACATGGATCATGGATAGGGCTTCTGCCAGTGCTGCGTCACCGCAGTAGCGCAGCACTGGCAGATGCGCATTTGACCCCCGAACTCGGGCATTCCCGAGTCCAATACTCATATATGTAACTTTTTTTTGCAATGTAGAGGGTCGCGCGCGAGGGATTGGGAGGGCTGGATACCCCCCCTACATAGGCTCAAAACACACCGTACCTGGGCTATGTAGTAGGGGAGATATAGTCGAAAGGGGTGAGATGATCGCTCAGTCCAGTGAAAATCAAGGAGGGGCTGAAGGTTGAGTCAACCGGTGAGCTTGCTTTGGAGTCAGCCCTTGCGGTTTCAGAGAAATATTAACGGAGTGGGCCAGTTATAATCCAGGCCCATAGCGTAAGCCATGTAAATTGCTAAGTAAAACAGAGTTCTAACCCTCACTTGCAAAGCTTGAGATTCTCCAAGTCAATGGTACCAATCTAGATTGCACATGCTGGAAGCATCAAAACAATCTCTACATTCACGAAAAAAAAAAAAACTATTGATCCCTTCAAAAAAGGAGGGACTCGGTATATTAACAAAACAAAGAATCCGTCAGAATGGAAAGAGTCAATGTTGATTTACATCTTATGTTTTTCCAATAAATGAGGAAAAAGTTGGTCAGCCCACACTTCATGATTGCAACCAATTTCCAGAACAGAACAAAATTTTTATCATAACAATGTTTAAGAGAAGAAGAAGCGAAGTTTCTATTACAAATCTACAAGATTTGAGAACAAAATTGTGTACTTTTATATGTTTGCTTTGCAGGCACTTGACTGTCTGTGTGTTCATTCCAAGGAGATTCCATAGGAGATTCTATATTACATATTAGGTCAGGTTTTGAGATGATTGGTTAGTGCAATACATGTAACTACTTGGTACTTACAACAAAAATTAGGTTTTTACATGTGTTATTCAAAAGATCTAGAGAATTTTTATGAGACAATTTCAAGGGAATAGAGAAAGAATGACTGAGATTGAGCTGGTCCTGTTGATCTAGCGGGATATCTTCCATTGCTTGAGGGAAATATGACGAAGGGGAATTATGTATAACTTTGAACAGAATTTCTGAGCCATGAATTAGAATTTAGCCCCACATTTTTTGTCGCCGGCTTGCAAAGAAGCTCATGTTGCTCTGGCAGCGTTTGCGGGAGGTTTACGGATACCTATAGCTGCTACCAACAAAGCTGTGCTCACATGCTGTGAGCGGACATTTTTCTCTGGTGGGCTACCCGCAGCCCAAGCAGCGGCACAGTTGAACTTTGCATCGCAAGAGGTTTGGGCCATGGCTTTAACAGAGGTATCGATGAGATTCTGGATGGCAGTTTTCATGGCCTGGTCGGTAGTCACTCGATGTAAGTAGACCAGATTTCGTATGTAGACGGCCTTGAAGCCTTTGGAGTCACGTGAACAAGAAGTTGGCTCGCAAATCTCGGCAATAATTCCCTTGGGGGCAAAGATCTTGACGGAGTGAGTAAAAACGGTTGATGCCATGGTGAGGTATTTTTGATCCCCTGTTGCTTTAAACAACCAAGCCATAGAGCCCAGCCATAGGCCATAGTTGTAGGTCCATTGGTCCGTAGAGAGCTGACAGCTCGCGTCTTTGGCATCCACTCCGTCCTGTAAGATTCCAGTCTTAACATCTGCGAGGCGTGAGGGCCCAATCAACCAATCTACAAGTTGCTGAGCGAATCCTAAGACCTTTGTGTCTTTCGTTATCAAAAAGCTTCGAGCAGCGGCCGAAATGAATTCAGTGTTAGTGTTGAATGCCTTGTACCTTCCATGCTTAGGATCTTCCCTATTTCGGTACTATTTACATAAGTTGTAAAGCGGCTCTCATATCAGGTTTGGGGCTAAAGATTTGCTATTAAAAAAAAAAAAAAAAAAAAAAAAACTCGGAGAAACGTGCCCAAAAGAGTCCCCCTCCACAGCCATTATCAGTCTGAGGCGCGACTTGTTGTAAGGTTTTCTGGGCGAGACCTATCCAGGTTGCGCTGGATTTGGGTAGCTTGGCCTGTGGTCCTAAAAATTCGGCAGCGGCCACAGCTTCAAGCGTGAGGGTGAACGACCACTTCAATAAGTCCAGTGCACACCTTCATTGATGCAAAGAGAGAATTTGAATTGTCTCACCTGACTATGTGCATGTGCCGAAATTGAAGATCAGATTTGCTGCATCAGGTTTCGATAGCAAACTTTCTTTTTTAGTAGATACCTGATCAGATTCCACGTACTTCAGCTCCCCAGAGGATCCCACCATTCCATTGTTCGACGACATTCTTGACGAGGAAAGAGCTGTCGGAGGAGCAGGATGAATATTGAATCCCTTGTCGACGACATGACGATTCAAAAAAAGCTCAAAAGAAAGTTACTGACTGTGACTGATTATTTGATTGACGATACAGCGCATTTTGGACGGTGGCCAAGTATCGGGTGTCTCCAACATCACTGGCATAATCAAAATGCAAACTCCAGATCATCAAAGAATCTTGCCATGGCGTGATGTCCGTGTCAAATGCCCCTCTCTAAAAAACATCAAAGGATCAAAATGAATATTGAAAGATGCAATGATTTTTCCAAAACAACGGCAGAGTAAATTTACTCACATAACTGGGACTGTAGTAAGACATGAGGTTGCTCATTGCCGCAGATGCTGCTTTCTTCAATTGATCGATGTTGTTCAAGTCTAAGGCAGGTGCCTTTGCTAGAGGTATAATATTCAAAAACAGACCAATTCCGAATATCACATGTGGGCCGCGCATTGCTCTGTGGCACTAGCAATCTTTGGCAAAGACGATGTTTTTATTTTCTTCAGCTTCAGGTATCGAGCTAAACTGCCACTTCTATTTTATTCTAATATTCTGTCAGTTCGAATTGGAGTGGGAATGATTTCACAGCCAAGCAGATTCCAAAGCAAGATGTCAAGAGCTTTGAATTAGCTATTTGATCACAATATTGTTGGTCGAGTGTGATCAAGACATTGATTGCTAGCTTCAAGAAAGGGATGAGGGAGAGTTGACCACTTACCACAAATTTGATCAACAAGAGGCAGGCGGGTGATATGTCAAGAAGAAAGAAGTATGTTGGTTTACAAAAAAAAACGCTATATGGCTAATCGTGATCCGAGCAAAAGTAAATGGAAAAACCCCAGGTGATGAGAGCTCAGCTTTATTTGCGCAGAACTTCAGATGCTATTCCAGTCTCCACTTCATCTCGGCTTCTGGAACCCAAACCCAAATGAAAATGTCGTCGGCGAGGTCGGCAACACGCATAGCAGGACGGTTGTCCCATCCCGGCAGTGACCGTTGGCCTCTCCCGGAAGTCAGGGCTCCGGTAAGACCCGCATGACAATACCCTCTTGCGCAACGCTCAATGAAATGTATAGGATTCCGAGAAACAGTCCAAGGCGGCCGCTGGACATCGTATTGATTTATCGCAAGCCTTCGGCATCCGGTTCGCACAGCCAGGTCTAGGAACCTCAATTGATTTGTCCTGGTTGCGGTCGACATCCCAAATCCCACAAAGCACAGCGGGTTCCGATAGCAACATTTTTACTATATAGATTGATAATTTTCTGACCCCGATAGTTGCTTCGAAAGATGATGAATCCATAATGTATCAACTTAGCTAAAAACACTGCAAGTTCCTCCTTTTCTTTCAAGCGTCAGTGGGCCTGTTGAGGCTTGCGGTATATGTGTGATGATCGTATGTTCCAAGTCCAACCTTGCCTCCAACAAGTTTCAGCAAGCCTGAGGCAAGGATCAGGGGATTGGTTTGTAAGTCAAGAATCTGACATACAATCATGGTCATGGTACAGTCAAACCTGTCTAAGGGCATACCCCTTGGGAGAAGGAATTATGTATGCCTGTAAACAGGTTATGCCCTTAGAGAGAGGGAATTTGCAGCAAAATCAAGTTTTGGGAGAAGCCCTTCACTATTCCCTTATACAGGTTATGCACACAGAAAGGTATGCCCTTAGACAGGTTTGACTGTATATGCAAAAGAGTGTCACTGTCAGCCTGCAGTGATGAATTCTGCAACACACTTAACCTCAAGAACACTTCAACAAAATGTTCTGGATTATTTGCAGATCATCATGGCTCCACATTTGAATAGGAAACTTAGATCTGAAATCCTGATTTTTTTTATCTGCTCTGTTTTTTTGGGGGGGGCTTTGTTGATATGTAAAACCAAGTCTTCCTAATTTGACTGAAGTGAAGGGCAGTCTTTCTCTAGCTCACTTCGATGTTTGATGCTCTCAAAGGAACCAACAAAGGGGAGACAATTACAATGGACCTTGAGATGAAAAAAGAAGAAATGATGGGGAATAAATTGAGCAAATTAGCAGGAGGGATCAGTTGGATTTTTCCAATCATGATCCCAAACTTTCTCAGGATTAGGCAGAGATTCGACGGGTAATTTAAGTTGTCTAGGAAACAAGCCGGCCAATTTACCGGACGAATTAAGAAGATTGGGAGATTGGACGATGTTTTGCAACCGATGAATCGAGCCGTTCTCGTCCTTGATCACTCTAAGGTATAGCTTTAGATCGGCCAACCGCAGTTCTTCTAGTGCATTGTTCATCGATTGGTATTGTCTTTCGAGCGCTTTTTCTTGCGCTTCTCGTTGATGTCTTTCGTTTAATTTCCATGCTCTGTCGATCGTTTCGTGGATCTCGAATTCGGGCACCAGCTTTTGTAATCGAGCCAATCGTGTCGAGTCGTCCATCTTAGGATCCTGCTCGTATAGCATCTGTATAAGGTTTTTTTTTTTTTGGTTAGTTGGCTGGATAAGAAAAAAAAATCAAAGGTTGATCAAAGACGATTACACACCTGTCTGATCACATCATACCGGTCCGATTTCCCATCCGTGTTACTGTTTCCGTCCTTAGATTTCTTAAGATATCCCTTCGTCTGAGCCGAACGATTTTCGCTGGGCTTCCCGGATTTAGATTTCCCGCCACCGGTCTGACGTGATGCGACTTTACATCTGATTTGATCGATATTCGAGCTCCGGTTGAAGTCGTTAGGAGGATGATTCAACAGGATGTTCGACAGAGGCTTGCTGGTGCTCGATTTTATTCGTAGTTGGTTGCTGGTGAATGGGACTAGGCGTGACATGGTTTATCTAAATAGGTAGCTGGCCGTCGTGTGCCGATTGGCGGTTTTTTGGAGTGGCTGGTCAAAAAAAGTTGAACTGTGTGTGACATCCCCGTAGGCTGTCACAGGTGTGACATGTATGGCAGCCCTCTCGCCTCGCCTCACAGCACAGCAAAGTCAATCTCAACACAACCATAACAAAACTTACAAAGCCTCATCTTACAACCTCGATCCCCTCCCAGTAAGATGACTGAGTATTGGGTTTCAAAACAATCTTATTACTGCAAGTACTGCGATATTTTCATTCGAGTAAGCCATCAGTTTCAAAAATTATCATTTCACTCCATCCCTAACTAACTTAAACAAACCGATCTTAACAACAGGACGACAAACCTTCGAGAGCTCAACACGAAAATGGATTACGGCATAAAGGAAATCTAGAAAGATATATCCGAGACATCTATAAGAAAGAAGACCGAGCGAAGAAAGAACGAACCGATGAAGCTAGCCAAGTTTCCAAGATAGAAAAAGCCGCAAGACTAGCACATCAACAGAAGGACTTGGCTCTCGTCGAAGGAGAAAAAGAAGTTAAAGAGGAAACTGAAGAAGGAGACGAGCCCCGAAAACGTCCGAAATACGATAAACAAGATTGGAAGGGAGCCGAAGATCTACAGAACTATAGCGATGCACGTAGTCTAGGCTTTATTCCAGACACCGATTCCGAAGCAGCAAGAGCCTTGAAAGAAGAAGAAGAAGCGGAAGCAGAAGCGCGATCCAAGGAAGGCCGAATGGGACAATGGGAAGCGGTGCTCAAGATACAACCGAGCAATAGGGCCGGATCGAGTGCATCAACCCAAGCGCCGATCAGCCGAGAAAAGATCGTCTCTCAATTAACCCATGACCGGGATCCGGACAACAAACCGATCCGGAAACTGTTCAGTGAACGGAACTTGGAAGCAGAACCTGATACAGAAATCCTGGAAGGCATGCAAATCAAGGTCAAAGTAGACCGACGTGCGAAAGCTCAAGAGGATCGATCGTTATCAGGCTCGAGAATCCATGGATCATTGCAGCCCATTCGTCTCGATGGCCTTCAATCTAACCAGACCGAGCCTATCAAATCGGAAGAATCTTCCCCTTCAGCTCCTGATCCTTCCTTCAAGAACGACCTCGCTCAGGAAGTGGAGGATGTGAAACCAGACGTCGATGATCTTAAGCTACCAACACCTCAACCTCCCGTATTTTTCAAAAAACGGAAGGCTACTCAAGCTCAACCACGACAGAAGACATGAACATGTAATATATACAATCACCCACTTTTTATCTCACAATAACCCTGTTTTCTTCCCTTACCAGGTGTTTAATCATGCATGTTTTTGAACAAGATTGCGCGGCGTCAGTCAAATGATACCTGACAACACAGACATTTCCATCATTTTACTTGATTTCATATCAACATTCACAGATGTGTAAAAATAAATGCCAAGTGTGCACATTGTTTTGCTATGTACAGTCTGTTTGGGAACTCGGTTGATCAGCTTGACTTGCCTATATCTAGCTGCAACCGTCATCCAAGATCACATTGATTAGATGACAAACTTTTTACTTTCTGTGTGTTACAGGGAAAAGATTTCAAGTACACCGTTCTGTTTTCAACATGAGATTCTGGCATCTGGAAAGCGTAGGGCCAAAGAATACCTTTGTTTCTGTATTTTGGCAAATATAAGAATGATAAAACAAAACAGAATGAAGTAGCCCTCTTTGGTTAATTCACCTAGGCCTACTCGAACACGCTTTGAATTGTAAAAAGAACAAAAAATTGTGACACTGTCACTCTCAAAAAAAAGGTCAATCATTTCTTCTGTGCTTACATGGAATTGGAAACAATTTCACAATCAATGGTAGTTCTAAAAGAATGCGAATAGATCAACTGGAAAAAGAACGAGCCTTGGGATTTGAAAAGATACGTATACAAAAAAGTTATATACACATTGTCTTTGGTTTTGCTAAAAAGAGAAGAAAAAAAAAAAACTTAATAAGGTTTTGCGGCGACTTTGAGAGTTAATGGATGAAAAGGTCGAGTCCTTTTGGCCCCGCTGGCTTCGTGAATACCCACAGCTGCTACGAGCAAAGCGGTGCTGACATGTTGAGAGCGCACATATCTTACGGGGTGGGTATCCATTGTCCAATTGCCGCCACAATTGTAGTACTTATCACAAGAACGAGTTACCATGGCCTTAACCGAAGTCAAGATCATGTTCCGAATGCCGGTTTTGACTTTCTGGTTATTCGTCTCACGGTATAAGTAAGCAAGATTGCGTGCATAGATTGCCTTGAAGCCCTGTTGATCGCGGTTGCAAGTTCTCGAAGGCTCGCAGGGCTCGGTGATGATACCAGACGTGTTGGACGCCGCAAACGTTCGCCGAGAATAATCGAAGAACGGGGTGGCGATGTTGAGATATCGTTGGTCGCCGGTGGCTTTGTGCAGCCCAGAAAGCGCGCCCAGGAGCTGACCGTAGTTGTAAGTCCATTGTTCGCCCTTCAAGTGTGAGCAATCTTTCACATCCACCCCATCAAATAATACGCCGGTCCGAGTGTTTCCAAGGCCAGAAGATATAACCCAGTTAAGGACGACTTTCGCCTGCCTCAATGTTCTTGAATCCCTGTTGATGAGATAATTGCGTGCACCTAGGGCAATGAATTCCAGTTCGGTGATTAAGGACTTGAAGGTGCCTTTCGGGGATTTCCTGTCTCGGTACTACATATAGCCAACGGAACCAAGTTGAGACATGTTAAAATACTTGATCTCGTCATTCCATAGTTCCAAGTTGTGGAACTTACCCAGTAGATTCCTCCGCCACATTTGTTATCCATTTGAGAGCCGGCCTCCCGATAGGTCTTCTCGGCTAACTTTATCCAAGTGGTTTGACTGCCTGGTATCTTGGCCCCAGCTCCGTAAAATTCTGCAGCGGCCGCGGCTAAGGAAGGCAAAGTGTGAACAACAGATGGATCGTAGGATTTAGTGTGGACATTCGATCATGTGAGAAGAAAGTATGTCACACCTGCCTAGAGAAAAAAAAAAAAAAAAGAAGCTGGCTCAGTGGACAAATTTTGAGCAATCCTTTAGAAACAAGAAAAAAGGCAGGAACGCACTAATGCTGGCCACATTATGTCATCATTCCATTGGCCCTCTACCTGTTCACCGGGTCCAAGAAAATCACTAGATGCAAGTGATCAGCATCTTGAATTTAAAAAACTTAACATGATAGGAAGAAAACCCACTGGGCATCATCGCGAGATTGATGGACCAGAGCCTGAGTGACGGTGTTCAAAAATTGGGTGTCACCGGTCCACTTGGCGTAATCGAAATTCAAATCCCAGACCATACCCGATTCGTGCCAAGGCATTTGTTTCTCGTTAAAAATACCTTGCTAGAAGAATCACAAGAAAAGGTCGGTCAGAAATTGTCTTACCTAGCGGAGGTTTGACTGAATCAGATGATCCGGAAAACTTGGAAGTTGCGTACTGAGTTGGGGGTGTAGTAAGACATAAGATTCTTCATAGCCATACGTGTCGCTGCCTTTAACTGATTGATATTGTTGATATCTAGACGGGGTGCGTTGGCAGATGCCTCGACCCATGACACCGAAAGCAGGCCACTTAGAATAAGTCCATCGAAAAAACGCATCTTTCTGTTGCCGATGATCGATTCGATGGGTTTTGACGACTACTGCAGTTCCTCTCAAACAAAAAGAATAAGAACAATTCTTCAACAGAAATACTTCAGTAAGCAGTTGACTTGCAACTGTTGAATAAAGTGGAGGGAGGGGCGGGGGGACTGGAGAAACGAGGAGGAGGGGCTGGAAAGGCGAGTAAGAATAGTAGATGAACGTTAGATACAAAGAAGGGCTCGGATGAAATCGGTAGGCGTGACTGGAAGGGGGAGAACAGAAGCACGGGACAAGGCTATATACACCTCGGAGGTCGGATCAATGAAGGTGAGGTTTAAAAAAACTGCATCCGCAGGCTGATTTCGGATCCAGTTCGAGCCTCATGATGATGATGACGACGATGATTGTGCTGCAGGACTTGTTGATCCTAAATGTTGTCTTTGTTGCTCTGGATTGTCATTGGAAACTTTTCACTTTTGTCCAATCGATGAGATCACCGGGATTGCCAAGAAATAATGATGCGAAACAAGTGTTCTTAACGGAAGATACCAAAGAGGAAATTTTCAACCCAAGCCCGCAAAGGAAGGGACCGAAAATCCACACCGGCAGTGCTTCCGGTCCTTCTCATTCGCCCAAATACTGCAAGCACCAGAATGGCTACCCCTTGTTTGGGTAATCATCTCTGCAGTGCACTCCCATGAGATCCCTCAAGCTGAAATGTGAGGCGTCGGGATTCGCTGATAAAGTGATCTCCACGTGACTAGTCACTCGTCGTCAATGCGGATCGCCCTCAGACGTCTCTCGCGCGTCCCTCAGGTTTGTCAGGCAATAACCCCTTGAAGTAGATCCAATGGAGAATTAATTAACCAGTTGCTCACAGTAGCCGAAGTGTTCTCATCTTCAAGAGAACAATCAAATTCTTGATTCCAGCCATATAAGAAAATGTGTGAAACCAGTGGCCCTGGTCAGGACATGTGGATTGTCGAAATGTACGGGCAACCTAGCTTGACGAAGGGCATTGCTTCGAATCAAAGGACCGGCAATACGGCAAAACCTATGGCGCAGGCATGCACCTCTGAATCAAAGGGGTGGGTCAAGCTCGAACTTAACTCAGGTCCCTCAGAGGAGGTCGCCTCCTCGGAGAGGCTTAGTTAACACCCCGGGACGACTTGGTCGCCAGCGCGGCGGACTCCATGCCTGCTCACCACAACGGGGTCGCCCCAGCCTCCAGGCGCGGACTTTGCCGACCAGCCCTCATGTCGTCCCCATCGGTCGCCACGCCGGCACTAGGGGGGGGGGCTTGCGCTAAATGAGCTCAATGCAAAGATAACATGAGAATAGAAATATATTCATACATATCTAACGGTGGCTACATACGACTGGGGGCAAAAACTAAGGAGAGGCCTTGAAATAAATTAAGCTGACTGGGTTAGGCGGCAGAAAGCTAGCCTCGCTTGATGTAAATCAAAACATTACAGCATCGAATAAAAAACCACTACTACAAAAAAACCGAACTGAAGAGACTTCTAAGTGTTTCCAAGGATAATGTAACGATAGTGGAGGACTTCCCGTCGCCATTTAGAGTGCTTTTTAAGCACTCCCCAGTCCTAAATTTACACCTCAATCATAATTCCACCCAGCTCACATGAGAGCTATCTTCCCAAGGCTTATGAAAAAATACTGTTTTTTATCAAAAATTAAGATCTTGGGGGTGTAAATCAAATTCTGGGAGGGTTGTAAACCGCGACGGGAAGTCATCCAGTTATTACTGTTAGTCTATAGAAGGCTAGTCTCGACAAATCTATTTTTGTTATGCGAGTCAAACCGTTTCATAAAGATCGGTCGTTTGGATGAGAAAAGTATGCTCTAGCAGGGGGTTGACAAAGTGTGCGAGGAGCTACGAGGGAACGATTGACATCACTTGGGGCATAGGAGATGAAGAAATCGTGATGTTGGGCCGAAACCCTCGACGTGAAAGGTGACTGATGTTTTTTTTTTCGGTGTTATTACATAGCCTTTCCAGCCTTAACATGAGCGTGTTCGTCGCGTATGTTTGTGTCGAGGCCATTCCCTCCGTGAATACCTACAGCTGCTACCAACAAAGCCGCACTGACATGTTGCGCGCGTACGAATTTGATGGGATGGGTATCGGTTGTCCAATTCCCAGCGCAGTTCCAATCCTTATCACACAAACGGGTGGCCATGGCTTGAACGGTGGTGTCGATGACTTTTTCGATAGCTTGTTTCATCGTGCTGTTGTTAGTCTCCCGGTGGAGGTATGCGAGATTTCGCACGTAGACTGCCTTGAAGCCCTTCTGGTCACGGCTGCATGCTGCATTATGCTCGCAGAGCTCTGAGATGATGCCCGAGGTGTTGGAAGCGGCAAAGGTTCGCTGAGAGTAATCAAAATATGGGGTGGCCATGTCGAGGTATTTTTGATCTCCCGTTGCTCTGTGCATCCAAGCGAGTGAGCCTAGCCACTGTCCATAGTTATAGCTCCATTGGTAGGTGGTGAAATCTGTGCAGTTTTTTATCGACATTCCATCCATCAACAATCCAGTCTTAGGATTCGCTAGGCCTGAGGATATCACCCATTCGAGGATACATTTGGCCTTTTCGAGTGTTTCAGGATCTTTGGTGATCATGTAGTTCCGAGCCCCTTGTGAGATAAACTCTGAGTGAGTGATCAAGGCCTTGTAGGCTCCTCGGGGGACTGATCTGTCTCGGTACTAAAACGCAAGACATGGCTTGAATCAGAAAGGAAATCATACTTTGCAGTTAAAATGCGAAGGAAAAGTACCCAGTAGATCCCTCCTCCGCACTTGTCATCCTTCTGGGATGCGGCTCCTTGATAGGTCTTATCGGCAAGGCTTATCCAGGTTACGGTACTGTTAGGTAGCGTGGCACCCGGACCATAAAATTCGGCAGCAGCGACAGCTGAGTGGAGGGAGATGAGCCACTGGAATCAGTGCTTTTCTTCATTAGTGCAAGGGCTACAAGTTGCTCGTCTCACCTGCCTAGATAGATGCAGAAATCACAGTCTCAGCTTTCAAAACAAGATTTTTCTAAGAAAAAAAAACATGATTGCTCACCTGACTGGGCCACAAAATGTCATCGTTCCACTGTTCTTTGGCCCCAGGGGCGAGAAAATCACTGGACAGGATTCCTTATAAGCCACAGAAGCCCGTGTTTCAGTTAACAGGAATGGCTCACTGTACATCACCATTTGATTGATTGACCAAGGCTTGGGTTACGATGTCCAAGTATTTAGTATCTCCAGTCCACCTGGCGTAGTCAAAATTCAAGCCCCAGATCATGCCCGATTCGTGCCATGGAGTGACAGTCTCGTTGAAAGTTCCCCTCTAAAATGAAGAATTGATGAATTCGATGTAAGCTTGTGTTAATCCAATCATGAAAAACGAAATTTAGGAGGACATTGGCATACAGAATTAGGGGTGAAGTAGGACATCAGATTTTCCATTGCCGCGCACGCTGCCTCCGTCAACTGTTGGATATTGTGCACGTCGAAGGAGGGGGCCTCAAGCGACGCATGCGTTCCAGAGATAGAGACCAGGGTGATTGCGATGATACCAGACAGGCAGCGCATTGTCCTTTGGTATCGATGGAGGCAAGCTTTCGACTTTGATCTTATTCAACTGTCCAGGTAGAGAAAGATGTAAGCTTTGGCTAAGGAAGGTAGGCTACGGCTTGCGTCAAATATATAGTCAGGTTGACTAGCGAAGAGAAGGACTATTAAGGAGGGAGACTGATGTGTGGAAGGCTGATACAGAAATGATCAATCCTTCAAGAATAGTTGGTTCGGAAAGTTGGGAGTGGGCCGAAGGAAAAGAGATCGCCAACAAAGGGCACCCTAGAGCACCTGGCAAACGGGTAAAATTGATTTGAGCGAGATGAGAAATCAGGAAAAATCCCATGGGGCTTCCCTGAGAAATATGGAGCGTGAGAATTTCCCTTCGTAAATTCAATCAAGAGGGGATATGCAATAAAATCTGATTTCTGCACGTCAGGTCTTGTCGAGTGCAGCGTCATTATTGACGAAGTGGCTTTATGGAACGGCTACAACAGCTGGCTGCTTCAAGGATCCAGCAGGACATGCACTGGTCTTTGGGAAGGGACGTTTGGTAACCCACTGGGCAAGTAGCTAGGGTTTTATCAGAAAACTTGTGCATACACGTGCGGTGAGGCAGGGTTGAAAGCGAGGCAGATTATGGGGTCATTTGAGGGATCTGCTCACAGACCTACATGCAGCTTGATCAAGATTTTTGCTCAAATTTCGCAAGGAGAGTGGATAAAGCGTCAAAGGATATGTATCAGGCCGGATAATTGAGATAGCAAGCCGCACGGGCTGAGGACAATCGTGGTCACAAAAATTGTAGGCTCATAGGAAGTTCCTGTGGGTAGGTCTCAAGGTCGGAACAAATGTTGCAATGACGATGAGAGGTCTAGAAACAGTTTTGCGAATACTTGGTGTCAAAGTTTATGTCCAAGTCATGATAGGGCCGTAAGAGTTGGGCAGCGCCTTGCGTGGAAATGAACATCTGACCTGTCTGCCCGATAAGGGTGATCATAGAGACGCAATCGATAAAAAATACGGAAATGGACATGAAGCACAGAGGAAGAAGTCGGACAAGGACATTGATGGTTGCATCATGTCTCCCTTAGAACAGTTGAATGCTTCATTGTCACAGAATACCCCACAACAGACGATTTCGATTCCCAGGGAATCAGATTGGCAGATTGGTTGAACTTTTGCTGGAATCATGAAGTCCAAAAAAATTGGAATTCACATTTCAGCTCTAACTTGAGACAAGTCCCAAGCTTCTGCGGGCCTGGTGACCTTGGCTGGCTGGCGCCACTCGCGAAGCGAGCCTCCGAAGGAGGGACTTGTGACAAATACACACAAGCTCGCGTGTCGCTATTGACATGTTTTGGTGTAGCAATATTTGGATTGCCCACCATGCATGTAATTTGACTTTTTTTTCAGGCAGATCCAGCATGGTCAAAGTTGACCATGTTGCCAATCTTCTCAGCAAATTTTAGGGATTTTTCCTGAAATTCAGATGAGTAAG